CTGATTCTCTACGTGCAGGTGGTAGGTACTCATTGAATATGTTTGAGCAAGGGATTGATATGATTAAACAGGTATTTAGGAAGATTAATCTAGACACAGAAGGCAGAATGGATTGGTGTACAGAGAGGAAGTAAAGACACCCATTAGGAAGATTGTTTCTAGTAATCTAGATATGAAGTAGTTAATGCTTAAACTTGAGAGTGGCAATAAAAATGGAAACTTGGATGCTTTATTGAAACACAGAGGTCTTTGGTCTGTCTTTTGAAGCAGTCTGCCTGTTGATGTTAATACTACTTAAATGCATCTAGTTGACTAAAGAAAATAAAAGCTAAAAAACTCTTGGTCAGTATTAGTATTTTAAGAGCTATAAAACACACTTCTTCTGCTTTGTTATACTTGATAACATTCAGCTATTAACAGGGACAACAACAAAACATCCCTGAAGCTTTATTATTAACAAATATTTTAAATGTTTAAAAAGCTATTTTATAAAGTATAGCAAATGATAAATACAAAGTGGAGTGCCAAAAGTAAAGTATTTTATTTCTTTAGATTTTATACTTCAGTTTTATATTTTCTTTGTCAATTTTAGAATATGCTTAACTTAGTGATAATATCTAAACTCCTTCTAAATACAAATCTTAATTCTTATTTTGTGGGCTTTTTGCTAGCATTTTATTTAAAAGTTTGAGCTTTCCACTGGATAGTTTCCTAAATCATTATTTGAATGATTTATATTTTATTTAAATGAATAAAAGTTATTTATTCCTTGTTGTCTAAAGTGAGATGTCCAACTTAAAAGACTGAAAAAACATTTAGTGACATGGTCTCTCTCTTTTACCAAAGAGTGCAGTGATGCCATCCTAGCTCAGTGCAACCTCAAACTTTTGGGATCAAGCAGTCCTTCTGCCTCAGCCTCCTGAATAGCTGGAACTACAGGTGCATGCCACCATGACGAGTTAGTTTAAAAAATTTTTTTTGTAAAGATGAGGTCTTGCTGTGTCGCCCAGGCTGGTCTTGAACTCTTGGGTTCGAGTGATCCTCCCCTCAGCTTCCCAAAGTGCTGGGATTATAGGCATGAGTCACTGTGCCCGACATGAAATAGATTTTCTTAGACAAACTGATTTGATATCATTTGTAAGAGTTTGTCACTTTTTTTTCCTTTAAGATCTCATCCATACACCAAACACCAAGATACTTTTTTCTGTCATAAATGGATATAAATAGTCTCTATTAGTTATATCATATGCTAGGCTGCTATTAACAAAGAGAAATGTAAATCCTCAGTAGTTGAAACAAGGTAGAATTTTATTCATCTCTCATGTAACAATTCAGAGGTAGGCAGATGGTCAAGAGTGGGTTGGTGCCTTTGTTCCACAAGGACATTCAAGAATCCAGGTTTTCTTTTGTTTCTCAACCATCCGTTGTGACTGCATTGTTTAGTAGCCATGTCCGTCTATTGACATTTACATTTAAGTTAACTTAAATAAAATAAAAAAAACCCACTAGCCACATTTTAAGTCCGTTATAGACACGTGGCTGGTGGCTACCATTTTAGACAGTGCAGATATCTCATACCTCCATCATCGCAGAGTGTTTTGTTGGTTAGTGCTTTATAGAGTGTTGTTCCTGTCCTCATGATCTTTGCTAGCTCCTATTTGCCTGTCCAAGTTCTAGTCTAAAGGAAAGGGGAATAAGAGGAGGGAAGAGAGGATAGCATAGTTCTGTTATAAATGATCCCCCAAAAGCACACATCACTTGTGCTTGAAGTCCACTGGCCAAAATGTAGTTATATGCCAACACCTCCCTGCAAGGGCAGCTAGGACAAGTCACTAGCTGGGTGAAGTGGATCCTGCTAAAACTTGGTTTTGTTGGGAGTTGGTTGGGAGTAGGGATCCTGTTACCAAACTGGAGAAGTTGAGTTAAATACTAGAGGGCAATTGACAATCAAGGTCACATATACTCAATCTATTAATAATCACAGCAAGGTTTCTTCCCATCCCCCAAACAAAGTGACCAAGAAGCACGCTGAGTAAAACGTACTTTGATTTTAAATGGCCATGCTGATATTAACCTGGAATTATAAATGTTTTTTACTGCTTTATTTAAATTACGTCTTAAAGTGTAACAAAATCTACCTCATGGCCAATTTGGCTTACAGGCCGTATATTTGAGTGTGGCACTTTTTCTGTAATGTATTACCTCTCTGACTTATATTGTGGGATGATGGTAATTTTATGTTATGTGATTACAAAGAACTAAAGAGCTTTTATTTCTGTGTTATTTTATAGATGTTAAAAAATGATTTTAAACATTGTGAAAGTGAGCAACAATGTGAAGTACAGAAAGTAGTAGGTGGTGGTTTAGTTTTTTCTTCCACCCATCTTAAACGTGCATGCCTTCTCTCTCCCTCTGTATGTGTTCATCATGGTTATGAACTATTTAAGGCTTGTAATGAAAAACAGTCTCCCATATCATTTTCTATCCCCAGTCTTATTTTTTGAGACAAATACTTTGAAATATTCATATTTACAACTTCCATGTTTCAAAATAATCTGCCTACATGCAATATTTCTTTATTTTTTAGGAATTATGAACTGATTACTATAATGAAAAAGAATTTAGCTAGTGTATTATTTCTTTTTTCCTTCTTTTTTTAAAAATTTTTCCATAGCTTTACTGTTTCTTAAACCTCTTTCACATCCATTCAATTAAAGATGGTGTCTCTTGACTTTCAAATTAGCAATTACAGATTTTATTGTTTCTAATTTTCCATTCTGGTATCTTTCCCATTTCTATTTCCCAATTTTTGTCAGTTCTTCATTTTAAATTGCAGTAGTCAAATATATTTACATTAGTCTCTATAACTATAATTAAGTCTTTTAGCTTTGTGTATTCCTGGATTCTAAAAATCATAACTAGTAACAGTTTAATTTTTTACTACTACATAAATATTTTTAACTGAAAAGTTAGTGGCAGAGTAATTACAATTTTTTAACGCAGTTTTATTGTTGATAATTTGGTTTAAAATTTCTTCTTCCCCCTTTTATCATGCACTTAAAAATTCCTGTAATTTCTGCCAGTATGTCAGTCATACTGTCTATCCTGAACACTGCATTTTTGCAAGCTGTTTCTGCCTGGAGTCCTTGTTCTCTCCCTTCTTTTCTGTTTTGTCAGCCAGTGCTCTTTTAACTACTCTACATTTTCCTAAAAGTTGTTGAAACTTTGCTTTAATTAATACTATTCCTCTTTTTTTTTTGGTAACTGTAGTTTATACCTTTTAAATATTAATTTTTTAAAATGATTAATTTTTTAGGAAGTAGAGAATATAAATGCATGTGCTTAACATCTTGAATCTGAAGTGTAGAAGTTTTAAGAGTCTGGTATTGATATATCTGAACTTTAGAGACATATGGTAAAACATGTGATAAAGACTCATGCTAATTTTTTTTGTAGGTGAAGCGTTTACAGATACAGCTGAAAGAAAATATACTCATTGTTATTTTTATGTGTATAAAACACTTTCTAGAATAGTTTTACTTTTGTTTTCTAAGACCCTAGACTTTTTACAGATTAGGATAAAATTTCCATTCTGTTATTGAAGATAGATATCTTCAGATTTAGATATATTTTCGTTACAGTGTTTCAAAACTTCATTGTGCATTTCTTGAAATTAGCCCATTTTATCATCATATAGTACCTGGTCAGTATCTAAATGGCATATAGTGATATTAAAAAATATATTTCCTAAGTTAGGAGGCTTATATCCTGAATGCCTATGGGTCTTAGTATCAGCCTGGGTGATAAGTTTTGCAATGCTCCTAGACTGCTTTTTATCTTTTTTTTTTTTTTTTTTTTTTGAGATGGAGTTTCACTCTTGTTGCCCAGGCTAAAATGCAACGGCGCGATCTGGACTCACCACAACCTCCACCTCCCGGGTTCAAGCGATTCTCCTTCCTCAGCCTCCCTAGTAGCTAGGATTATAGGTCTGTGCCACCACAGCTGGCTAGTTTTGTATTTTTAGTAGAAATAGGGTTTCTTTTTGTTGGTCAGGCTGGTCTCGATCTCCCGATCTCAGGTGATCTGCCCACCTCGACCTCCCAAAGTGCTGGCATTATAGGCATGAACCACTGCACCCGGTTGGCTACTTTTTATCTTTACAAGAAAATAGTATTGTAAAAATGTCAAAAATATCCAGATGCCCAGTTCACTAGTAAATATACTGCTAAATTTGAACCGTTTTGGCAGTAGTTTATGCTACTCAAGGGACAATATTTTTACGGAATGATATATTTCAAAGGGTATTGGTTTCCATTGTAGAAAATTCATGCATTTAGAGTAACTTAAAGCCAAAACAGTTGTGCTTGTGCTATATGTTTAGAATATTAGTCATCTTGAATACATGCATAGGTTAAGTGTCAGAAGCTATATATTGTGCAAAAAGAAAATTTATTGTTAGGAGACCAGGCTGTACCTGTGCTTATACAGCATTTTCCTTAGAGGATCAATTTGAGTATATGAACAAATATCAGCTAGGTTTTTGTACGGTAACATTATTGATAATATAGGAGAAATTCATTGAGGAGAAAAACAAAGGAAGCATAAAAGTCTCATACTGTATGAAACTACAGAAATGGATCAAAGAGTTTGACAGGAAGTTTAATGTGTACATAAGTAGAGGCTGACAGGAACATGCTGTGTGTGCCAAAGGTTCCAGTGATGGAAAACTGAAACATAGTGCTCACTGACCACAGCATGAGCCTTGACACACATTGTAAATAATCCAGAGATATATGACTGCATTAAGTGCTAGGCTGGTGTATGAACGGCAGTAAATCTATAGCAGCAGAAAGGGTTGGCATGCAGAAATTCTTCTGATTAATTTTTATAATGGATTAATAGGAATATAGCAAATATTTTCATTTCAAATTCTGCCTTCTCCAGTTCCCCTCTCCAGCTCTCCCTGGTGTGATCATTTTTTATTCTCCTCTACTCACCAGACTTGTGTATGTGGATACCTGCTTCAGTACCATCAAGTTAAAAGCAGAAGATGCTTCTGGTAGAGAGCATTTAATAACTCTCAAGTTGAAGGCAAAGGTATGTGCCTCATTAAACTGTTATTGTGATCAGGAAATACTTTGTGAAATGAACTCTGTGAATGCTCTCAATGTAAAGAAGTGCTAGTTGCATCTAAAAATACATATATCATGCTTTAAAACATTGATTTTGGAAAGCCTCAAAGAATTTATTCACCACGTTTCCAAAAGCCTAGACAGTTTCATGTCATATTTTAGTCCAAATTTGATCAAAATATAGACTTTATGACAAATATTACAAATACAATTTTATAGCCTCAGAGTACCATGATGTTAATTTTGTAACATCCTATGTAGAAGACAGTGGACACTTCCACTATCCCAAGTTGTACTGAGAAAATCTTTTGCATTCAACTGTTAGTATAAATTTCTTTTGTAGTTCTTATTCTTACCTATGATTCCCATTCCCTAACACAGACAACATATATGCATACTTTTTTATAGTTTGTTTGCTTTGGCTAGGGTTTTTTGACTTAAGTATTTTAAGAATTTGCAGAGGTTATGCCTCTGTTTATACATCCCTTATAGGATAGTGATATATAATCACATATTTTATTGGCACAAAACATGGTTGTTTCATCTTTATTTTTTAGTTCTAAATTGTGAATTTGGACAAATAAGTAAAATAAACAAGTTCAGCATATTGATCATTTACTTAGTAATCACTGGGGAAACATGAAAATTTGAAGAAAACCAGGACGTCCAACTTTTTTTTTTAATTGTTCCTAGGAATCATCAGTCAGCTCTTTCAGAAGATTGTAGTGATGAAAAAAGATCAATTGTGTTTGTCCTTTTTAAAAATGTGTCTGGCATTTACGCTTTCCACAAGAGAAAATTAATATATAAAGCTGTACTGGATGACACAGAAAAGTTGATATCTTATAATGGTTCTATAACAGATAGGTTGAGAAATAATTATCTCTTTCACACACAGAATGTGTAGGTCTAATTTTAAGATCCATATGTGATAAGTCTTGGAAAAAATTAGTGGGATGGAAATCTTGTTATTTGTAAAATAAGTTAGATAATTATTTTTATTAAATTGAAAAGATTTTTATTCTCTTTTTTAGTTTGTAAAGGTGTGCTTTTTTTTCTTTTTTTAAGAGAAATTTGCCTTTATCCTTCCAAAGGGTCACATGTTGCCAGTGGCAAGGGTTCTGTCATTTCCTTCAAAGCTCTATTTGTTTATATTTTGTACCTTAATAAAATTAGCCATTTTTCTATGAAGACCAAAACTAAAGATTTTAAATACATCCTGTCCTCATTTTTACAAGCTCTTCTACTTCCTAAGAAGATGATGCTGTAAATTTATGCTGCCTTTAACTATACCTACAAGATTATTAATCCAAGTTGATGACATTTAGTTCATTTATTGGTAGTATGCAGAGTGAAGATGTGACAATTTAATGTGGTCCATTTTGTATGCTTTTTTCTATACTTTTTCAAGGTAGATAAGATGATGCTTTTAGTATTTCTCTGGAGAATATTTTCCAGGGTCAGTTTTGCAACATCTGTAGTTATGAAGCACTTTTATGGATACTCTGGCAAAAGAGAAGAGAAAGCTTTATTTAAGCTGGGAAGGAATTTGGAAAAAAAAAAAAAAAATCTGTTTTGGAAAAACAAGAAAAAGCATGTAACTGAATCTTATGTTGGTATGATTTATTTGAATTTTATTTCTCAGTGTAGTTTAGCTTTATATGTATACCACAGTTGTCTTTGAGATGTGACAATTCCTTTCTTTTTTTTTTTTTTTAGGAAAAAAATGTTAGTTCTAGATTGTGAATTTGGACAAATAAGTAGAATAAACAAGTTCAGCATATTAATCATTTACCTAGTAATCACTGCGGAAATTTGAAGAAAACCAGGATGTCTTTTTTTTCTTTAGGAAAAAGGTATAGGTATATATAAAACCACCAGCAATTAATTGTCAAAATTTTTACTTTCAAAAGTAATGTACAACAGCAAAAGCTCCACATATAGGAATATGAACTGAAAAATATTTTAGGAAAAAAAAATTTTAGGAAAAAAGAAAAAAAGAAATTGGGCCTGGGATTGTTAGTCAACTACGTTAATAGCTGAAACGTTAACTGTCTATTAAGAGTATATGATGCAAAATCTTAATCCAAACTAAGTTTTAAGTGGAATCCTGAATTTTTTTATTAATAACATACCTCAAAGCAGACTTTTTTCATAAATACACAAACCTTTATTTCTATTACTTGATTTTTTTAATATACAGTAAATAAATGCATTTGTTTTATTTATTCTGGAATACATACTCTCCCAATTCTACCACTTCCCCTCACCATCTCCAAGAAACTCACAAAGAAAACAAATACACATTTTGACTAGATGTCCTTTATTAAAAATATATATGTAAATAAAAAATAAGTAGAAGTAAACCAGATAAATTTTGTGGTTTTTATAGGTATATTTTTATGCACTACTTACAGTGCATTCTGTACTGAATTACCTTTGCTTTACAAAAGAAGTAGCCCAGGGCTTCCTCAGCTTTGGTCAAGATCACTTCTACTTGAAAAACAAATTACAAATATGTGGCACTCCATCTCTGCTATAATTTGTACGTATTCACTTGGGGGTCAGCCTTACTGCTTAGGTAGTCCAATCATAGAACAGACTTGGTTACAGTTTGTCTTAGAATATATTAATACTATAGAGTCTGAAAAATATTGTGTGATAAAAATATATACTTAATATGTAATCATTATGTTTTTTTAGTTATTGATTTGATTTTCTGCAAATGAGATTTAGAGAACTATGTTTTACTTGAAAATAATTAAATACTATATTTATTTTTCAGTTAATATTCCTGTATATGGAGCTTTTGTTGTTGTAAATTACTTTTGGAAGTAAAAGTTTTGACAATTAGTTGCCAGTGGTTTTGTATATACCTATACAACTTACTATTGAAAAGTATCTTAATTTTGATCAAGTTACTTTGTTATATTGTAGTCCATCTACATTGTAGTTAATACTATTATAATTCAGAAGCTATTCTGAAAATGAATATCTAGTATGCTAGTTTATATTTTAATATTTATGATAAATCATCCAGACTTTTATAAATGTTCTTTTTAAGTTCTGTACTATTATGTGAAGTTTGTTATATAAACAAAATTGATTTTGCACATGAATGTAATTAACACATGTAACAAGTATTCAGTTAACTCAGATATGAAGTAAAGCCACTTGCATGAAGATCAGTCTAATTTATTATATACATATTGTATTACAAATATAAAAATATATTTGAAAGATGTCATTATCTCAGAAACTACATACTGCACTCATTTATCTATGTAGAATCATATATTTACTTTAACTTGCTTTTTTGTTTAACTATTTGTGGATCTCTTTCCGTGTCAATACACTGATACCATTTACTATTCTGAATCCTACTTGAAGGTAGTATCTTACTCTTTTAGCATAATGAGCTGTGTATGTACTTAATGGGGCCACAAATACTTTGTGTATCTACTCCAAATACAGTAAACATTTCATTAATTTCTCTATCTAGATTGATGAATCATTTAAGTTAGAGAGTTGATATTGTTCATTGTCAGCATCACCAAGATAAATAGCAGCAACTCAAAATGAACTGAATTTTCCATTTTTGACCCATGGAGATTTCAAGTACACATTATTATTTTTAAAGAATTCTGACATTTTAGAGGGACAAGAGATTTTGTACACTTTCAGTTAAGTTTTGTCATTTTTACATGTCAAACAGCCAGAGAAATTAAATGACTTGTTCAAGATCATACAAGTTAATTAACAGAGGTGGAACCAAAGAAAGCTGAGGTCTTTGTCTACATTTACTTTGAGATAATCACGATTTTTAAATATGGTGTACAAATTGTTTCTCCAGTGATTACAGCAATGATACTCTGAAGTATATCATCTGATGTTTTTAATTGTCTGAAATAGAACTTCCTCTTTTAATTTCAGCATGATCTTTTTTTCTTTCTTTTTTTTTCCCCCAGAAGTAGATCACTGGAATATTTTTATATTATTTCTTATATATTTGCCTTTGTGTTTAGTTCTACATAGCCAGATACCATTAGTCAGAGTGTATATTGATAGTCTTTTTAACCAACTGATCATTGTAGCTAAATGTTTGAAAGTGTTGATTTCAAGTGTTTGTTAAATACTATAGTGATTTTTTTGTTCCCTTTTGCTTACCCAGCAGAGTACTGAAAAATAAGAGGCTGAAAAAAGTGAAAGCCTAAAACTTGTTTTAAATATTTTGTCAAATGAAAGTTTTCCTAAAATTAATTTTCTTTCAGTGCATTTTAGCTTTTTAATGGAAAGAAATGGGTATTTTTAATTACATGTGACTTTGAATAATCAGAATTGGATTATAGAGAAATCATAAAATGTGATTCTCTAATAAGGAAACTGATTTTAAGAAATTTTACCTTTTGCCTTTGTTAACTTAAAAACTTGGTTTGTCCTCATGACTGCCACTTTTGTATGACTAGTTGAGGAAATAATTTTGTATTTACCAATCTTTCAAAGGTTTTTCTTGCTAGAAAGTATGTTTTATTTTTTCTTAATAAGCCAGAAGATATTTTATCTTCTTGCTAAAATTAATATCTTTAATGTAGAAAACAGTTTTTTACATTGACAGCTGTATGTATTCATTTTTGTGTATTTCTTAATTCCTTTAACTGATACTGCCTATTTAAATAGTGACTGATGCTGTTTGAAATTAAATTTAGGACTAGGAGAAAAGTAAATATCAACTAAATTGAACCTCTTATTTTAAAGATAAACAGAGATCCAGTTTAGTTCATTCCTCAAATCATAACTTCAGCGGCTGACCCAACACTGACTTAATTCATTACCTTTTACTCAACACTGATTGCTTTGGCAATTCCAAATCACCGAAGTTGCACCTCCATAGGTTGACTATAAATAAACTCTTAACATCACTATGAAAGTGGAGCAAAAATAATTATATGTAATACATTTGCAGTTACAATAATATGTTTTCCCCTAATATACCTAGTTTTTCTTTTCCCTTTCCTTTCCCCTTCCCCTTCCCCTTCCTTCTTCTCCTTTCCTTTTCCTTTTCCATTTCTTGATCTCCTGACCTTATGATCCACCCGCCTCAGCCTCCCAAAGTGCTGGGATTACAGGCGTGAACCACCGCGCCCAGCCCCTAATATATCTAGTTTTTCTAAAATACCTCGTGATATTAACACGCAGAAGCAAAAGTGGTCTAATTTTATGCTTTTTAAATAGTATCCTGCAGAATCACCAGATTGTTTTGTGGATTTTCCTGTTCCATTTTCTGCTTCCCGGACACCTCAGGTAAATTCTCCTCAGGTAAATTCTTAAATTTGTTTTAAGTAATTAAAAAGTACAGTTGTCCCAGAGTATCCATGGGGGATTGTTTCTTGGACCCTGTGTAAATACCAAAATCCATGGATACCCAAGATATGAAATGAGACTTTGTTTATAGCCTGTGCACAATCTTCTATATACTTTTAAGTTATCTCTAGATTATAATACCTAATACAATGCGTATGCCATGTAAGTAGTTATTATACTGTATTTTTAAATAGTTTTATTGTTATTTATTTATTTTTGAATATTTTCTATCTGCAGTTGGTTGAATCTGCAGAAGTGGAATCTGTGGGTAGGGCCAACTGTAACTCTTTTTACTCAGGTAGTCTTTATAGGTTATGAAGTAATCTTTTTTTTTTTCCAGTTTTCCTTACGCATTTATTTATAAACACACCTTCTATAATGCTTCTTCTATATTTCCTTACAGTTAATGTCCATTTTCTTTCTCCCTCTCTACACGCACACACACACCCACTCACACCCACACTCACGCATAAATACACACACACACACACCATCCAGCCTGTAGATATTTATGCTTCATTTTCAGTAAACTTCCAGAAGCACTTTTGACACACATTTTCCTTTAAATTTAAATGCTAAAGAACTCTGTAGAAAGCAGTGAATGGTAACTGAAAAGTTGAGTGAAATTTTTCATATTGCTAAAACTTGTAACATTGATTACATATCAGAGAATCCTTTTCAGAGGAGAATGAATTGTGACTGAAAACATAAACCTTGCCATTTCGACTCCATTTTTATTGTTTTAAAGTATTTGTCCTTAGTTCATCTTTGAACTCGGATTATATTCTCTTATTTTGTGCTTTAGAACATTCAATATTTTGTGTAAAGAATACAGAAGATTCTCCTGCTTCTGTCAGTTGAATTTCACAGTACATTGATGATATTAGCAAGATAATGTTTTATAGAAGTGCATTGTAAACTATAACATAGATATAAGGAGGTATGATTATCAGTACTATCACCATTTCATGTGTGTGATTTTTAAGGATGTGGCACAGTATGATTAGTTAGGACATAGTTCTTCTTTCACCAAGTAAATTGTGGCAGTTGATAATAAAAATGTTCTCTCCAATAAAAATGGAGAGAACATTTTTATTCTTAGACAAAGAGAAAAAACATTTCTAGTGACATTTTACAAATATTCTGTAAATAGAGGCTACTCATTTTGGCTATAAAATTTTGGTTAGATTTAAGTAGAAAATTATGCTTGTATTTTAAAATATAAATACATGAGTAAAGTAAATATATAAGAAATTAGTAAAAAATAAAAAGCCTAACAGGATTTAAATAGTCTTGTCAAGGCCAAAATGCCATTTTAATTATATATTGTATTTATTCAAAAATTATTTTTCTCATATTCTTTTTTTTTGTTTTTTTTTTGAAGTCCCAATCTCCCCACAATGAAAGTTGAGAAAACATAGCAAAATAGAGAAGAGAGAGCCTGTAATTTGCTTTTGGTGTTTTGATGTATACAATAAGTAAGATACTATGTTGATTTTTTTTCTATTAAAGAATTGGAATTATGCATACATTTTATAGTGTTCTTTTTTTATTTTAAAAAAATTTTCATTAAACCCATGTCTCTTTTTTTAAAATATACATTTTCTATTGGCTCTGGAATTTTAATCTTGATGTTTTAAGTGAGATCATGAGAAAATATAGCTAGATTGTGTTACTCTTTCCAGGTGTTATTTCTAAATTATACTTTAATATTTATCACAATTCCAAGGTTGAAAAATACACCGTTTATGAGTTTCTTTGTGTTTTAGATGTACATAATTCGAGAAGTTTCCCCAGGCATTTGTCTGTGGAAAAGTTTGCAATGCTATAAAAAGTTTGTTTAGTACTTACTTTATTTTGCTATTTAACAAAATTAGTTGGTGGCTCTCTACTAGACTGGAAAATCTTTGAAGGCAGTTTCTTTTAAGTTTTATATCCACATGCTCAGTGCCTTATTCATATAAACATGGAATAAATATTATATTAGTAATATTAATTCAAATTTAAATTTTGGGTTTAATTGGGTTATACAAATTTTCTGTTTTGTAGTAACTATTAAAATGTAGAATTAGTAGTAATGAGTGTTATAAAATCTTTATTTGTGGAATATACTGAAATTCTTAGCGAAGTACAGATAAATTACGCAACCTTTTATCACAAAGCTCAGATTTGACAAATGTTAATATTTTGTCATATTGGTTCAGATATATCTATATTTCTCTTTCTCTTAAAAATAAAATGTTTTAAGAATAGCTAAGACCTGACCCCCTTTTCTGTCCCTCCTTCCCGTCTTTCTTTTCTTTGCTTCTCTCCCTTTAGTAACTGTTTACCCAGAATTGGGTTTAAAAAAAAAAAAAAACAAAACAGAAAAATAAAGATCTTCCAAGTTTAAAATTTAAACATATATTTTGATACTAATTCTTTGTTAGTTATATGGGATATAAATATCTCTGTGGCATGTCTTTTAACTTGGTATATATTTTGTCATACGTATGAGTTTAACTTTCAGTCTGGTCACATCCTTCTCTTGTGGTTTCTGTTGTGTTTCAAATAAGAATCTTTCATATATTTTTCTGAAAAAATATTCTGCTATAGTTCAGAAAGTTATTTTTAATATTTAAGTATTTAAGTATGAGATAGCGCCTATTTTCTATATGCTTATACAATTTGAGTGTGTCTTCTTCATTTATGCGGGTTGGGGGCTGATTTCACAGTTTTTTTTACACATGCCATTAATATTTAGAAAGTTTAAAAAATATATCATTTACGTATAAGATTCTGGCTGTACATCATAAGGACTTTGGATGGTACCAGCAGTGTGAACTCTGAGTCTTTTAGACATGGTAAGAGTGTTGATAGTTTATGTTTTGAAAATAAGAAGAAATGTGAGACTTCTTTGTTGTGTGTGATCCTTTTTAATTGGCTGACTCAAACAATTCTGCTTGTGGGAATATTTTTTTTTTTTTTTTGTAATTTTTAAACAGTTGTGTCTCTTAAGCAATAAAAATGTTACTGTTGTAGTTTAGTAGCAGAGTTAGATTTAAGAGATGGTAAATAGATTTCAGATAATTGATTTTTTAAAAATCCCTTTCTGCTTTTGTGTATTTCCTCTTTGGATTCAGTGTTTCTGAACTTTAAACTTGGAAGATCTTTATTTTTCTGTGTGTGTGTGTGTGTTTTTTTTTTTTTTTTTGTAATATAATAGACATGGCTTTGTGGCATCCGTATTAAAAATGGGTAATTTTCCTTATGGTCCCTGTCTTCCTGCTGGGTTGATAATGTTTTGATGTATTTTTCTTTTGCTCTGATGAGAGGTCTGCTGCTGCTGCTCTGACATATTCATTTGGATGAATAATTATAACTTGCACAATGTCAAGCTGAAGATGGTAGGGTTTTGTGCGTCATGACAAGCCTAGTAGCCAGTGCAGGTGTCTCACAGCATGATCAGCAACAGCCAGTGTATTCTGGCTCAGAGGAGACATTTAGAGTAGTAAGAAATCAGCACCAAGGGCAAGGCTGCTGCTACTATTGCTGCCATGATATGTGCCAAAGGAACACAAAGTGCTTCTCAAAGACAAGTGTCTAAGCACCTCTTTGTAGATATTTACTTTATTTGTTTGCTCAGTTAATCTTTTATAGATTTTAGCATAGATGGTAAGAACATCTCATGATTTTATTCTACTTTCTAACATCACAAATGTTCCAAAATATATCTTTAATAATTGTTTTAGACTTTTACATACAGGTCACATGTGTAAATACTCTTGACTGAGACTATACAATGCCCTACTGTCAGATTTTAAGTGCACTGATATTATGATTATAAAAAAATGAAATTCCTTTTGTCCAGATCACTGATCAAGCAAAAATGGATGTTAAAATTGCAATTTTGCCTGAAAGTGTGCCACTAAATGCAGGCTTGGTGAAGTATTCTTGCCATGGGCAGTTGGAATCCTTAGGTTAGGTGTGGTGTAGTAAATAGTGGTCTTTATATTTTTTATCATGGAAATCTTATATTCTTGGAATAATGCCATGGATGCAAGAAGAGCAAAACTAATGATAAAACCTCTGGCTGATAATCTGATGGTGAATGAAGAATTTGTAATTAAAGGAAGCAGTCCTATTACATAGCAGGGAGCATGATCCATTAGTTAGAGCAGCATACTAGCAGTTGGGTATTCTAAGTTCTGTTTACAGTTCAGCCATTAATTTAATTGTATTAGTTCAGACAAGTCACATAACTGCCCTTTGCCTCAGTTCATATGTACTGTATATGGAAATGGTGAACCTTTTTTCTTTTATGGATATGTAAAGAAAAATAATCTGGTTTAAAACAAACGCAGTATTGGGGCAAATCCCCCCAGTTTTTCACCCTAATGATCCTGTGGAAGTTCTTTTGACCAACTGGATTTTTTTTCTTTCCATTTTTCCTCTGCTCTTTTTGTTGGAGGACTTAACAATAGTTGTGGAATTTTATTCACTCTTAAATTGGTTAATTTCATATGCTTTTTCTTTCTTGGCAGTCTTACTGTTGCCACAGTGGTATGACTAAAATGACATCAAAAGGATCAAAACAAAGAAAATGTATTATTGAGATTATGTGATATGGTAGAAAAAGTATCAGCGTAGGAGTCATTTGACCTATAGACTTAGTCACCTATCAGCTGCCTTTCTTTTATTTTTCTTTCTTAATAGCTAATTATTTATTTAAAAAGTAGCCTGTATTGATTCTAAAAAAGAAGAGAAAGAGGGAAAATACAAACAAGTAAAATTAAAATGTAAAGTTACCATCAGTGCTTTTATTTAGGCAGTAGTATTGAGGTGTCATTGTGTAATTGTTTTGAAACTATGCTTGTCACTTAAAGTTTCATTTAAAAATATCATTGACAATACTGTGCATTTGTTATTCCAAATAATTCTTAGAATTACTTGGGTTTTAGTTACAATTGGGTTTA